GTTACACGAATTCAAAAGGTTAGAGAAGTATTGGTTAATTTTAAATTGATAACTTGTGTGTATATTATGAACCGTGCCATTATCAGTCTTCCATCCTGTAATTTGAAAATTTACATATATGTGATAGCATCCACAGATTGGCATTATATACAGTATGCAAAAATGAATTACATTTCAGCATCTGCTGTAAAAAGAAGACAAAACAAATTTATTCTGTTTGGCTATACAGCTGTACACTGACAAATTCTAAAGAAATTCCATCGTTAAGGCAGGCAACGCTAAAATCGGTGATAGATAATTCCGCGTTTTGATACACAAATATGAAATTTTAAATGCATTCGACAACAGGTATAGAATAAATTGCATAACAAAGAGAAGTATACATCCTCATTTTCATAATTAGGTGCGTGAATTTCATCTGCCGAGGCTTTTATTTATGCAGGTTAACTATCTAAAAGCACCATATTTTGACTATTTCCGCATAGCAACATATTGTGTTGCTATGGTGTGGCATCCACATATGCGCCGTTTACTAAGAAAAGATAATTTGTATGCTTGAAAATCATAGCCATTCGCTGGAGTCAAAAACAAAATTGTCTAAAAATTGTTTGTTTCTATTAGGCGATGTCATTAACAATTCGGGACCGTCAATTACAGCACTAAGATGACACCAGAATCCAGAGCATTTAATGATACTGTAAAACCTTTTTTTGGCAGCATTTATTAATCAGGATTGAAAAACTATGTACATCCTTAACAAAAGGTAAAATAGTGCTGTAATATGATACTTAACTTTTCTGTTACCTGGACAGATGTATCAACACTTTCCCCGGTATGAGATATCTATGTTTCACCCAAGGTTTGAGAGAGGGGGATTCCCTTATTCATAACAATTATATGACGTCAGATCAACGAAACAATGACGTCACGTCAACCCTGAATTTAGCCTGTTACGTTAACATTACATTTGTATATGATACACAATGAGGAAACAGCGTGACAATTTACATATTGTGGGAAAGGGCTTCGTACAACTTGTTTAACTTAATCCCATTGTTAAATTAAAATAGGAAATAAAATATGTTTAAATATTTAAAAAATAACTCTTGTAATGTACAGGTATGTATAATATAAATATACAGGTATGTATAGTATTTATATAAATTCCAAGCAGGAATAATTTCTGGCATTCATTATTACAGGACTGAGTTTTCAGAGGAAGGGTCTTAACATGTATCATACTGCATGTAACTGCTGGGATTTATTTTCTGTATGAAAGTGTTTTAAATCATGTATTGAGTCCTACTTTAACACATTTGTTGCATTAACTATTGATAATCACATGCCTGTGTAATATTGCATTAGGTACTTAATGTGCTATTTAAGATTATTAAAGATTTTCAACTATTGATTTCATACTTATTTTGGCAAAAATCAGTGTTTCCTATGATTGTTTTGGGGTTGGTGGGTTATAATTGGATTAATGTTGCTTTGGATACACACATATTTACAACTGCCTGACCATAAAATGAAAAGCCAAATACTACCTGTATAAAATATCCATTTAATTCGAAATGTAATGGTATTAACAACCACTGACAACTAAATTCAACATCAAACATACTACACATGTACTATTAAAAGTGTTATCTCCCAATACGAGATGACCTTGCCTTTCTAAATGTAGAGCTACTCATTCCTTCAGATTGAAGAGGCGTACATGTACGTGTCCAAGATGACCACATCTGATGTTCAAATTACAAAGCAAACTACTAAAAGAAGAATTTATAGCAGGCAATACAAAGACTTGAAAAGTTTTCGTATTCTCAAAGTATGCTACCTACACATTTCCACAACGAAGATGACATCTGCCTCATCGCTGCTGGTTAATTAACAATGTATTCAGCTGTTTTCTTGATATTATCCATCGTTGTATCACCAAACCCCTTTATGATACAAAAAGCATGCTAAACAAATGGCAGTAGAACAAGATTTTATTGACTATCTGCATTTACACACTTTAATCATACTAAGGTAAAGAGTCATCACTTGATGCTGCATCTCCAACAAAGAAGAGTTCTGATGTAAATTATTCTGCACTTATGTTATTTTTAAACGCAAGGAAGCAGAATCATAGAAAAAATAAATAATTATATTTAAAAAAACGAAAATGTAAAAAAAAAAAATTCATTTACATCCATCATTATATCCAAGCTAATATTCTTTATGACTAAACAGTATCAATGTACTTCTCCTTTATTCACTCTGTATACATTTAGGTCGTGAAATTGACTATATCCCCGCTTTCCCCTGACTTTTTAGTCTAGGGAGTTTGTTTTCATGATCAATCCATCGTTTGTTCTGCAGGGATGCTTTTATTTTCAAACGTTAAAAAACTGAAACTGACAGCATTAGATAAGAGTTAACGGACTGCATTTTAATGCTCAGGTCTGAAGATAACTCTTTTATGACGTACTACTTCAATGCTAACGATAACTCGAAGGTTCACCATCTTATGCATATACGTTTGCTTTTGCAATGGAATATATTAACTACTACATGAACTCAATTTTGAAGAAATAAAGCGATGTACAATTGTCATTTCAATATGTAATTATCTTACGTACCTTTACATAAATGTTTTATTGTGATACTGTATATGATATGCACGGTTGTGTATATTTATACCTTGGAAGTAGTTTCTTAACTCAAGTTTATTGTTAAAACTTAAACTGACTATACCATATACTTGGCGTTCAATTAACAAAGCCATGTTTATTACTTCTTTATATGAGTTTAAAGTTAAGTGTATTAAAACCGTCAATGAGCTACATGATGTTGAAGTAATTGCTTATTTTCTTACATTGAAACTGTCCGCCTAAGTATGGTATTAAAGCGACATAGAGCTATAGATGTAGTGGTACTAGTATCTGGGTCATAATTTGTTATGTTTGAAAGTATGTGATAGTAAAAATATGTCCTTTATTCAATACAGTTTCACAAATTCCTGGTCAGGTATCTATGTTATTGATATTTTCTTAATTATTCCAGGACTCGTTATCTCTTTTTCTTAGTCACAAAAGCGTTCATATTTACTCGTTGTTTATATGTTGACTACCTCTCTATACATTGTGAAAAATGCATTCATATGTTTACCGGTCGTTTCGATTTCACGTGACTATGCCGTGAAGACTGACTCAAGGGACGGCACATATCTTCATTAACTTTTCATTTTGTCAATTCGTTCGACTAATTATTAGACTACTGACCACCTATTCGAAACCATATTCATTTTTCACTCAATTTACACAATTTTTGAAATCTACTTCATATCCAGTTAAAAATTTTGAATCCCTTACTTGTGTTTATACCGTGGACGATGCGGGTTTAAACGAGCTCTGATTTTTCGAAATATTCGTCGATCTTTTTCTTAGGCATTCCCGGTAATCTATTTAAATTATAATGCAGAGACCTTGCTGTTCTTAAACAGTTAAATGTATATATAATTTGCAATGTGTAGTTACTGTAGTCTTTGTCTGTCTAATGAATGCCTCGAAGCGGGCTTCTCCAAAAAAATCGACTTTATTTGGTCTACACTGTCGAAATAATTTAGCTTTTAAATATATAGAGGAATAACAACAATGCAGACAAATGAATTCGTCAATTTTCGAGGCAATCCGTCCCTTCTTCTAGTCACAAACACAAAGACAAACACCATGAAGCATAACTACAAAATTTAAAAAAAAACATAACAGAAAACAAAATAAAAATGTAAGTGCACTGAAAAAACCCGTAAATAAAATTTGTGAGTGACGGAGTCCCGACCAGATGTAAAATTAATCTCCATGTCATCAATTTGCTGCTATCATTTAAACCAATGCGTCACATTTCATTTCTAGAATATATATTATCTTCTGTCTTAGCAGGGAACAGAAGCTCACTTTGACAACAGTGATCTCGCAATTTCTATTGGTGTCTATGCAGACATTATTTATACTACCTTTCATTCTACACTCCTATCAAACTGTTTAAATCTCACGTTTAGCTAAACCTGTCCACTGAAGGTGAAAGTTGTTTATCCTCTGATTATTTATTAATTTTTTGTTGACTTTTACTTCTTTCAAGGATCGCTTGCTCTGTCTATGCCCTAAACTTGACTCCTCAAAGCGGCCCCTGCAGCACTAACCACTTGCTATTCAATCTTCTATCAAACCATTAAAATGTACCACTTTCGCAAATCATTTTTACTGAGTATGAAGTTATGTATCTGCTTATTTTTTTTAATTTTAATTGTTTTAGTTTTTGTGGAAAAAACAGTGAGTTATTCATTTATTAACTGAAACCCTAATAATCATTCCTATTTACAACCATTATACTAGGGTAACTGATGTTAGGCCCATGCAGAATCAGGAATCCGCTGCCCCCTGCAATACCCGAGATCTTTTTCTTTTTTTTCCCCTTTTAAACCAATCCGTCTAAAGCATAAAATGGACAATGCAGTTATCACATTGTGTGTATAGATCATAACCAAAACGTGTTTATATGTGGCTCTAATGTTCTTATATTTAGCGAGATCAACGTACTTGAGTGGATAATTTGAACACGGAGCACATACCTCGCGATTGATGATTGTGAAACATCATCTCGAAAAAAATAAACTGATTTATTAGTTGAAGCAAATACTATTTCTTTTATTTTATTTTTTATTAGCAACACAGGTGTTTATACAAATTACTTCATAGTTGCCGTGTCATTAAGCTGTCACAGAAAGGTATTTTATACTGAAGAAATGCAAATATCGTTCAGCACAAAATGTCATGCGGTCAAAAATACGTTGACCAGCCACACTGTTTGAACCCGAATGTAAACCAACATTCCTGACAATTCTCCACTTTAGATATGAATTCTCTAAATGCGTTATTTATCATTTGTATTTTTCTATTCGTTTTTTATGAAAACGACCATTGTTGTATCATCTTTTACATTCGTTTTCTTAACAGGATGAACTTTCATGTTTACGCGACTGGTACAGGCGACCCTTATCCAAGTGACGTCTGTCAGGCACAGGTTGCACGTGCAGATACGAAAGAGTGGGAATATGAAAAAAATATCAAAAAGATAGAAAGGGAATTAAATGACACAAAGGCAAAGTTGCATCAGGCAAAGAAGGACAAAACATCTCTCGAAGACAAGTACGTATTTAAAATGTTTTACATTTTTATGTTTAAATCACTTTTGTTTGTTTGTTACATACTACATACCATCAGCCTGCTTAAAAAACAGGAAATAGATCCAACAAAAATACATTTAACTAAAAATAGCTTTGATCAGCGCCATGCCCATCAAAGCCATGTTAATTGTTTATCGATGGGGCTTGGATTGACGACTCTCATAAGGAATGGCCTATTGCTTTTTCAAAGAATCCGCCTTCTTGTCCTGTTGCGAAACATCAAAATAGCAATTTCTACAGCTATGTTGTTTCTTGTTTCGATGATGACTTAACGTAAAACCACAAAGTGTCGTATTCAACTTACGCTGTGTTAAATGTGTTTTAGAACATCATAATAACAAAAACAGATGACATATTGTTTTAAAACAACAACTTTAAGTTCTTTTTTTGTTGTTTCGATGTATCATTAGACTCTGAGACAAGTGTACCAAATAAATGAATAAAATGGAGTAATTCAAAATTTCATGTCACTTGATAAACCTGAGACAGACTGACAAGACTTTTGTGTTTGGATGTGATATAACTCAAAACAAAACGTTAACGTGTTCTTTTGAAGCATTGTCCCAATGTGCTTTATTTCTTAACTTGAAGCGTATCTATGGCAAATGCGACAACTATTGGATATATACTTGTTCTACTGTAGTACCTTGAGTGTGAACTGTTGCTTATACAAAATGTCAGTGTTTCTGTTGCACATTGAGGAAGCTTGTTTCTCCGTTAATTAACTAATAAGATGAACTCTCTGACTGTATTCAATTGAAAGAGAAGACCACAGCTGTTCAAGGGTGGGTTAACTTTAACCTGTGATTAGTGAAAACTATACATTGTAGTTAATAAGAAACAGGGATAATCAAGTAAAATGTATCCTCAAAACACAAACATATTATTTGTCTTAAATCTATAGTAAATGAACGATATTTGGGGATCTGTATCTTTTTTGGCAAAATTGTTTGAATTTTTCTAACCACTCTTACCTATATCAAACAAGGATGATACAAAGTCAAACAATATTGACAGTTGATTTAATGACGCTTAAGCATTTCCTTGTCCTTATTTACAACCTGATATTTTAAGCATGATTTACACCTGCATTACATTACTAAAGCAGTTTAAATTCAGCTGTGAACTACGTTCAACTATATCATACATGTGGTAGTATAATTCCACGCTTTTAAGTTTGAGCGTGAACCAAGCTTGATCGACGGTAGAACTCATTTTACGATTAAGGATGTACTTTTCTAAGGTTTAAATCACTTTTAAATTTTGTTTGAACTCGTTTACTGGGTTTTCATAAAATTTAACCAGTTATTATGAATTTGGAACGCAAACATGTATCTGAACAAATATGAAAAAAAACTAATTGCATGTTGTTTGTATAATGTTCCTAACTGATTTTTTTTTTAAAAATACCGATTCGGCATCTATTTTGGATATGTGTTTTTCTTGCGCTTCACGAAACGCCAAAATTTCACCTTTTGTGACACATGTGACTGTTTTAAAAAGAGAAACACATTTTCTTTTGATCCATTGAATTTTTAAAAAGTTTAAAAGCAGCATTTGTATATCAAGCGTTAAATCTAAAAAACGATCAAAGCACAAAAACAAAAACTCGAACATATTTTTTTGCATTTTCTACTCTGCTATTACCTAATTTGTCAGGAGGCAAACGTGTATAAGAAAAAAGACTAATACATAATAGGCAAAGGGGATGTGTCCTGACACCAATGATACCTTTTTTAAATGTTTTGTATACATACAGTATCTAGGAATTGTTTTTGATTTTATGTTTCCGATATATAGTTCCATGATTCCATCACAATATAATTCAATGAAACGGAACTTTATATTTTATGTGATTTTTTCTGAAACGTGATGCTGTTCACAAAATGATCGATATCAACATACAAAGGGTTTTGATATAAAAATGTTGTCTCAATCAAGGTTATTCCTTTTGAGCCTAACACATATGTCTCCATAACATGTCTGCTAATTTGTTCTTAAATCTTTACCTTTAATTTCCTGTCTTTAATTACCCTGCTGCATATTTTGGATTACAAACTCTCCCGTTCTGCAACTAAGTCCTCTCACTATCTCCTCAAATATTCATAGGTTTCTTTTAATGTATAGCTGTTTTAGGTATAAAGAGAAAATCTTCAATATACATATAGGATAATGCACATTAATAAACGAAAACCTAAGTACATAATGTAGGCCTGGTCAAAATATGCATATATAACGCTCAACGAATTTAAGAGTTTTGTCGTAGTGCAATTCAACGTAGGTATGTGTGATAAACCCAAAATCTAAAAATAATAGAAAAAGGAATCATTCTGCTAGAATTCCGGATAAAAGGCTTCGATGTCTCTTGAAATGTTTACATGTTGTGGACTGTTCTAAACCTGTTGAATAAATACTTATATTAAGTGAGGTGTCTCTCATAATATAATTTTCTTTCGCCTACTTTACATGTGAAATGCGTATCTGCTTCCGTAAAACAGTATTAGATAGCTCTCTTACAGTGAAATTATTCAGTTTAAAGGCATAAGAGCATTGTCAACTAGTAGTCAACACGTCAAATATGAAAAAGTTTGAAACCGTTCCATTAGAACCATTTGATATAATTGTAATTTCAACCATGTATACAAATTCATCCAAACATCGTAAAAGCACACCGACATTTATTTACAGAATGCGCAAGATGGCCAAAGACAAGCTTACCCACAAAAATCCAGTGAGCAGAGACATGACTGACCCCAACCAAACACAGAAGCTGGCAGCGAAATATGGCGAACTTTACGAAAATGAATGGATTGACGCCATGCATAAACTATATTCAGAGAAAGGGGAACGCGAAAAAATAGACCTCCTGTCAGCGATACTAAAGGTTTATATCCTACCCTTACGTTGTTGTCTTTAACACCTTTAGGATCTGTTTTGTTTTGATAAATTTACTATTGACTCTGTGTGCTTGTTGTTTGGCTAAAGTGAAGTTTACTTATGTTATATGAAATTTTAGTGAAATTTATCTGTTTTGGTCGTCAGAAGAAAAATTCCAAACAATGGCATTTAAGTATGCTACCAGAAATCTGCGAATGTTTGCACAACTGAATAGAACAGCATTTCCTTTTGAATTATAAAAATAAAAATTCCTTGATTGATCTATTGACCTCAGATTAGTTTATGAGTTTACCCAAATCCCTTATTTTTGAGTTTAATTTTGTTTTACCAGTTTTTGATGATTTTACGATTTATGTAAAGAAAGGTTTCTTGCGTGATTTTCAAATTTTATGGAATCGTAAAACGTCGGCTGCAGCTAACATAAATGAGTAATAAAATATCAATTTTGTATAATTTCCCACTTTGACATAAACTATTTTCAGTTCTTTCACATGCTGATGCGAAATCTCGCAATAGTATATTATTTAATATACGGATGTTCTTCCTTCCTTGCGGTAATTAAAATAAACATTCTAATATATAAATATTTTTGTTTTTGTTTTTATTCTCTAATCATTTCAAAGTTTATTTCTACTTTAATGATTTTAAACACTCCTTTAAACAATATTAACGAAACGTAGTTATTATAACTTTGGGGAAACGATTCTTGCTGATCAAGTGTTTTCCTCAAGTTTTGTTACAGTGAATGTGAAAGGATCGCTGACAGTCAGTTATCCCAGCTTGAACTAGTATGTTTCTGTCTTCAATCCTCATACAAACAACAGGTAAAGTATACGAATTACGTTACCATGATGTTTTTTAAGTTTTGACCGGGACCGATGAATTACTTAAACGGGGTCTTCGAGTTATACGAGTTCGAGATAACGAGGTTCGACTGTATATGAAACAAAACCATGCTTTCATACAAATTATTGATTTAAACATACTTAGTAAAAACAGTTTATTTAAACTGCATGCTGGTCTCTACTCGTTATTTAGGAAAAACTACCAGAGGGATCAGAGGCAATCAAACGCAATCTGTTAGACGCACAGCATGGCGCTTCTAATTTTACAAAGATGGCTGTTGTTGATGTGAGTATGTGATGCCAACAGAAGCACATTCTGATGCAAGTTTCAATGTAAACATTTCTGAAGAATGGAGTTTTGTCTGTTTTGCTCTTTGTAATTTTAAATGAATTTAAGAAAAACAATATCAGAACATTGTTTTTCGTATGAATCAGATAAAAGTATTATATTTAGCCATAATGTTTCTTTTTTTGTTATCTGAATAGTTTCTGTTGTTGTCCTTTTGTATCAAAAGTCCGTTCAGGTTAGGTCCTAGATAATTAGAAATGGAAAAAAAAATGGAAAAACATTCTATTAACTTTGGAATTACAAGATAAGAACAATAATTCCTATCAGAATATCAAATGCTTGACATATGATCAGCTACTGCTTCATTTGAAGTAAATAAAATACCGCATACTTAGAATAGCATATATGTGCGTAACGGAACATAGAAAGAAGGAGGTTAGGATCTTTTGATGTAAGTCGATTACAACTTATTTCATTCCAGATTGCGAAAGCAAGTCTTGTAAAGGAGAAGCATCTTAAGGACAAAGCGATGCAGATATTGCTGTTCACAGAAAGTTGTATCGAGATATGCTGGAGCATGGTAACACGTCATCCACGAATTTTTCTCTTTTGGCCCGATGTGAGTAAAGAGAAAAAGATAAACTTTGAAATGTTCCAGGCATACACTAGATCAGGTGACACTGTGGAGTACGGTGTCTGGCCCGCTATGCTACTCTACAAGGACGGTCCATTGCTGAGGAAAGGAACCGTACAACCAGTAGCCAGATAAGGCGAAGCACCCTATGGAAGATGCAACCTTGACATTTCTGCAGAAAAGTTGTAAACATATGCTAGCAAGATAAAGTCATTCTTAAGGAGCCATTATTTAAAAGACAAAGATGAATCTCCTAGTGTTTTCGTATAATTTGTATTTAACGTAATTATTATTTGTAGATGAAACGTTATTTCGTGTTTGTAAAAAAGCCTTTCTATTTTAATAAGCAGAAACTATTTAATATATTAGAGAGGTGTTGCTTAAATTATTTTGTTTTTTAATTAATTTTTTGTCGTTCCGTGATTTTCATTACAGAGGAACCAAGGCCGTTTGATCACTTGCGGCTGTTATGCATTATATCTCTTTCTATGTTTGCTTCTATAAACTCTATGAGTATTTTTACAGGGTTTATTTAGAGATTTATTCATAATTATAACTTTGAAACCTAATTTATGCAAGAGTTTTATTGCGATGGTTCTACTACCTGGATATCTTTGGTAAAGTGAATTTATTCATTTGCTGTGAGTAAAGAAAAATTGTTAACTTTTGTCATTCAATTATTCAAAGATTTATATAATTAAAAACAAAAATCAGACCAAATCATACTTGAGCACTCATATGATATTTCCATTTTAGACAGAAAGTTTTTAAATTATTAATGTTATTGTAAATTATTTATACTTATATTTTTTATTCTATGGAGAAGGTACATACGTTATAAATAGCATCTTCTCATCAGAATTATGCAACTATATAGAGAGGAATTGTGAGTGTAATGAAACGGTGTAGGACACTTTGTGATCGTAAAGGTTCGCATAATCAAAAAAAACATATTACTTATTCATCTAAAGTATAGCATTTTACTAGAGTTGAACATTCTTTGTCAATATTGAATATGATCACTACCCACGGGAAAGTGAGCCTGATTTTTATCAGAGTAAATGAATTACACAAAGTTATATTCTAGTCATTAGTCATTTATGATGTGATCGAAGAGCAGACAATTCCTTGTGAGACTAGTCCTGTAACAGTACTGAACAGCATGCAAATAAATAAGAACTGAAGTAATTCGTTGCATATATGATAGTGACTGGTATTTATCGATGCGTACCCAAAGTCGTTGTACGCATGGCTATTTAAAGAAAGTGTTTTTCTCCTGCCCACACAACTCCAACCATCCAGGTGGAGTATAAATTGGTCTGGGGTCGATGTTGCGGTATCTGTGTTGTAGCATTCAAGTGAGGTGGCACTATAAATGATGCCGTTGGAAACACGGTCCCACAACAAACAGAACACATCACATCTCCAGCACACACACAGACATGCACACATAGGGAATTGTAATATTTAATTTATATGCTAATTGTATTAATTGTATATCTATGTACTGTAAAGCGCTTTAGAATGGCTTATGTTAGCTAGATAGGGCGCTATATCAAATGCTGAAACGAATAATCGAAGAAAGATGGGAGAGAGACAATTGTACGACTTAAAGAATAATGAATGACTAAACATGGTATTGGTATATGATAATGTTGTCCGTATTGGCTGCAACTATAAATCACTGAGAAATAATGAACTTCCGGAAGTTATTTCTTCATGTTGAGAACAGAAAACACATGTGTGAAAAGAGCCAGTCGACTTCTGTTTTATAAGTACCCAATTGTCTAACAATCTTTGTATATGTTTATCTAGCTGTACATGACGAAACAGGTGTTGGTTTAATAATCAAAACATCGTGATACAATGTATAAATTAATCTGACAAACATGAAGTCATCATGGTTACAATGATGCACTTTTATCTTGTTAGTTGGTACTGAAACTATTAAAATATAAAAAAAAAAAGACATTCAGGTGCAAATATTAAGAAATACAAACATATATTTTGCCTTGGATGCTTCATTTCATATCAGACAACAAGACCTTAAAGGCATCTGAAGTTAACATGAGCTGCACATATCTCCAGTTCACTGTTGACTTTGCCGGTATTCTAATGATTCCTTATTTCAAAGGAAAGAAAAAAAACTTTCATTTAGAAATGACCGATGGTCTTAATGGGACCTTTACCTTAGGTTATATTCATATTGACAGCTCAAGGGTTCTAAGAAAATAAGAATAATTTGCTCATTGAACATTTCCGACTAAGTGATCGAGGTATATCAATCATTAGGAAGACTCCTTCTTAAAAAGTATATTGTTGATGAAGAAAGTTAAACGAAATGAACACTTCGCTGCCTATTTTTGACTCATAAGCTGTACGGAAGGCCAAAATGTGAAAATCCAAATCAAAAATTTACCGGAACATTTCAACATTGATCTGTTTTCATTTTGCATACAGTGGCAAAGACAAAAAATAATGTCAATTAGATAAAGGCAAACGCAATGAAGCGCACTGTGACGTTATGTTGGATTTGTATTTTGGCATCACATTGCCTTTGAATGACAACTGAAAGCAGTATAATACTTATGATCTCTGAAGGTCTGAGGAGGATTTACAACCGACGTGGGGTAGTTGTACACTTTAAACCCCAGAACTCACTTAGAACCAGACTGGTAGCCCCCCAAAGATAAAAACCCCAAAGAAAAGACGACTGGTGGTATCTATAAAATAGCTTGCATAGTATGTGCAGCTTCTTACATGGTTGAGTCGGAACGTGCCCTTGAAGTACGACTGAAGGAACACATTAAGGACAGCACGGGGAATTCCGCGATTGTGGAACACGCTAGAAACACCAGGCACAAGACCGACTGGAAAGGGGCCAAAATACTGGATAAGGAGGCTGACTGGTTCAGGAGAGGAGTCAGGGAGGTCATACACATCCGCGCGACCAAGGACACCCTCAACAGGGACCAGGTACGACACCAGCTGCCGACCATCTATGGTGTGCTATTGAAACAGGTGACCCCTCGATCACATGTTCCCATGACCTCTGAGTCATGTGACCAATAACGTACCGTATTCAAGTTCTGAAGTGTGATCACGTCAGAAGTGATCAAGTCCCAGCGTAGTCAGGACAAAAGCTCTTCTGTAAGCTTAAGTAATAAGTGTGAGAAATAGTTTATCCCATTTCATCATACGTTTGATTACGTTTTTGGAATCTATTTTTCTCAGATAAAAATCAATAAAACTTAGAATTATTCCGAATTCATTTCAGATGATATAATTATCGTATATACATGTAATTGTAATATGAATAGAACAGCAATCTGTCAAGAAGTCAGTTGCATCCAGCGTAACAATCAAGACGTCATAATAATGATGACGTAAGCAATCGGCTCATTACATTCACAACCCTATATGAATGACATTTGAATGTGGCAAAATCATGAAGTGGTAATGCCATATCATGAAAAGTATCTGTACTGCAAATGGTGCCCGTAAACCCGTTTATAATTTTTAAAACATTTTACTACAACAGGAAATTTGTCTTCAATTTTGTACTTTATGTCAATCGTGCTTGAATGAATTGCGACTGATAGGTTACGGCAACGTCACAGATCAATAGTCCAAAATCAGTCAACAATTTATTTGCGTAAAATTATTAACTTGAAATGAGAAAATATAAGACTAGTTACTCAGAGATCGAATGTGACCATATTATCAAAGCTTGATAGACGATTAAAAAACCCAGTTTTCCTGGATAACTATATATGACTATTTGATAGATCATTTACGAAGTAACTTACCTGGTACCAATTTTAATGTTACTCAAACTGTATGCTTTATGTAGTTGTCAACCAGGCTACCATAGTTAGTGGTTTATAAAGATTAGCCCCAGTTGTTTATGTCTTCAAATTATAATATGGAACACATTTGAATAAATAGAAGTTGCGGCTATGTAAAGCAAGCTATTCAGATTGGTAAATACTCATGAATTATTAAAATGTTAATTGCAATCGATTAGTAAATAGTTTAATTGTTCTTTCAAAGCAATAATTTTGTAACGCAAATAACGGCTTTGACTAAAAATCGCAATCAAATTCTGAACTTTTAGGAGTTGTGATGTAGTAAACAAAAGAGGCATTACGTACGAAATAGCTAATTGCATTTGTTTTCGATACATCATATATATTCAACGATAGCACTGTGAGTTTTTGCAGTAGTACTTTCACCTCTTTACAGATATTTCAGAGGGTCCTCCCCTCTAAAGAGATGAAAGTACTAGAAAGCTACTGAGAAACTGTTTTATATATACCATCACAAGGACGTTTCGTGTTTTATAGCATTATTTGCATTACAATAATAGTCATATATATTCAATTTAAATTAAAAAAAACAACATTTTCAATGATTTCGCAGTGTTTTACTTTTATACAAAATTTGATTACCTGTTAATACATGTGTTTATTGTATAACTATCTGTACTCATTGCAACAACTGATGGGGACGGATACTGGACATCAAAGAAAATTGGATTAACAAAATTGAAATATTGAGAAAACAAATCCTGCACTACATTTGGTCAACAATGATTCATTACTTACATGTAATGTAATATATAACCTTAAACGTCCTTCAATTAAATTGATATTTAGTTGCATATATGATAAACTGCCACAGTTTGGCGATATGATGAAGGAGCTTTATAAAGAAATAGAAGATATCAGTAAAGAAGAGTCTATCAGTGTCCACAGGTGCCCTTTGGAACAACGCTTGATGTAAGACGATACAAAAATCCAGATTCAACGTGATTGTTGTGCACTGAACTGTTTGATCGTGATCCAATGAGGGGTTAGAGTTCAGAAGTCCTCTCGCGATTTGCGGAGAGACATGATAATCATATTACATAGATAATAGATCCTGAACGTACATTGTATGTTGCATTGACAAAAAATAAATTAAAATACAACACATCAATTATTATAGCGTTTTACGTAACACAAATTACAAAACCACTTTATTTTTCCCTTTATACCTGGATCAACCACGAATGCTCATCAAGTAATCGAGAAAAATGCCGAGTTGTCTATCCTTGTAGTGTAACGGGATTTAAACTGTGAGGAATTGATAAGCTGAGTCTGTAATGAAAAGCGAATGGTGAATTATCTATCTGAACAAAGTAAACAGTAACATGTCCACCACATAATTGATTACAAATATTATTTTTAAATTCCCATGATATTGACGCCAGGGTTATGTTATCGCATAGAGCATCACATTTACTCATGCATAGCAAAGCATATATTACAAATGTGTGGCAGCACAGGTAAACCCAGCAGTCTATATTTAGATACCCGACATTGAATCGATTAATGCAACACGTGTACACAGTTCTCCGAAGTGCTAGGAGGAAGTAAATCATAGCAGTCAAAATGGCGAGGTAAGTTTTGTTTGATAACGAATCGTACCAGTGACCTAGTCATGTCAATAACAAGAAATACATGATCAATTTATTACTTTTAAACGACGGTGTAAGCGAAAGGTTCTGATCAAGACGTTGGGACATATATAATTTATATGTAAAGTGCGTCAACTCAACTTTGTCGTTAATGCAATGAGAAGGCGCAATATCATACGACGAAACATACGACTAGCTCTTTCTATATTTCCTCTCGGGATATATATCTTATCTGCATATTCACCTACATTTTATCAGACTGTTCAATGCAGAAGGCCAGCAATAGCCGTAATGTAAAAGGTATGGTCCTCATAAACTCTGGTCATTGCGTTAATACGTTATTACATGTCCCCCGTGTGTATATATACCACATCTCTTTGTTGTCCGTACCCGATGTTTTAGTATCGTATAGACCGGCATAGTTTTGTTCGTACTCTAAAATATCACCCATTGTTGTTGTCATTAAGACAGTATGGGTCGTCACTACATCTCCATCTGCGTCATTGATGTTTCAATGATCGTGAAATGTTATCACTGTGTCAGTACATCGTTGTATAACGTTATCACTGTGTCATTACATAGTCGTAAAACGATATCACTGTGCCAGTATATAGTCGTATAACGTTATCACTGTGTCAGTACATAGTCGTATAACGTTATCTGTGTGTCTGTATATGGTCGTATAACGTTATCTGTGTGTCAGTACATAGTCGTATAAC